CATGTAAGGTGAGGTTATTGAAATGCTACCATATCGGGTTCGAAACAGGGAATTATTTTCCAAGAAAACTAAGAGAAAAAAGGAAAATTATCCTGTTTATGTAAGAGCTACAGTTAGCAACAGTCGCTGGTCAACTTCTAAATAATGTTTACTTGTTTATTCGGCTTTTTTCCCCCTAATCCTATCCGAAACGGATTGAAAACTCTATTCCAAACTTTAGCTTTCTCCTTTCTTCTAGAAGACTGGCCAAACTCCACGAAATAAAACCGAAGAAAATGATGATAATTATGCAACATTCTGAACAAAGAACATAAGAATATATTTTTTTAAGTGATTCATTGTGCACTTATGCTTGTAATGGGATTTTAACGCACTGTAAAAATAAGTGTGCTGGCTCACTTAGCTTCTCACGCAAATGAAACGCAGGGAGATGAATAACTCTGGGATGGGGTGTTTTTTTGGTTTTTTTTCAAAAGGAGAAGTGTGAAGAAAAATCATAGCATATAAAGAAATTTATGTTTTTTAATCATAGATGGAGCAACACAACCTACTGATATGATTCCACAGCTCCAAGGGTCCTGAGATCTCAGCCCAGCTAAGCACGCTATAGGTAAACTCCTGAGAAACAACCAGGCCTAAATGAAGTCACGATCTCATGCGACGGTCCCCTTTCACATTTTGCCCACAAAGCCTTAGCAGCTTCTAGAGAACCTGGGAGGCAGGAAGGAAAGAAGAATTCTAGCTGCACAAGATTTCTTAGGGAATCTTTGGGAATATATTTCCGCTACATGTCTATAAAAGATTTGTCGGATACATAACTCTTACGACTGTAGACGCAACATGTTCCTATCTCATTTTTTACCCACACACATACTTGTTTCTCTTTGTCTCACGGAGCCTGACATTTGGCCAGCAGGTTTTTCTCCCCCTTATTTAAAACCTCAAGCACTGAAAAAATTTGGATCTGATTATTTCCGGATCACAGGACCAGCACTTTAAAATGGATGAAATGCAAGCAAATTGCCCACCAGAGCCGGAGGGGGGAAATGCTTTAAAAATAACTCATACCTTTCTACTACGGACACACTAGCCTCTCCAAGGCCTCCCCAGACATCGCAGCGGCTCCTTACTCAGATGAAGAAACTCCACCAGGTGACACCACCAAAACCATCATTACTCTCCACCAACACCAGCCCCTGACACCATGTACACAATCTTCAATTGTTTTCCCTTTCTTTTTTTTCCAAAGAAAAAAAATACCAGCTTTCTTTTTTTTTTTAAGTTACAAGACTGACTACTTTTTGACATTTCCAGACACATTATGACGACTGTTTTTATAATGACAGAGTTCACATCTGTCCTGATCGTCCACCTCCTTTTTATTGCTAGGATGTATCCAGTCTCGGCACACACGGCACAAGGGCCGGGGAGTCGCTGTGAATTAAATAGTGACCTCAGTATCGGGTTTGCTCTGGGAACAAACAGCCACTCTGGACAATCAGAATCATCTAGTAAACTACAAATTTCTCTGACTATGGCATTGATACTAGTTACCAATTTCCTAAGATTCGAGGCAAGAGAAATACCAAAAGCAAAAATGTTTTTACACTCTCTGGGAATGCTCAGAAGGCCTTTGTTGTGATCGCCAGCTCTCAGCCGCCAACATACACACGTAGAAGGTACAAGTTGTGGAACCAGAATCAAACATTTGGAGGTGGAAGCCTTGGAAGCTGCCCCTTACTGTCTGTAGCTTTGAGCAAATCCCTGAACCTTAATGTCTTCATCTATAAAATGGGAATCACATTAATAACAGCCACTACCTGCCCCGCACATTACAGACTGCAAAGCGCTTAGACATCTGTTCCCTCGCAAGAGCCCACAAGGCAGGCAAAGCGCAGCTGGTGGAGGGCACACGAGAGAGTGTGTGGGAACACACTCTGAACACTGTAAAGCACTGTGCTCGGAGAACGAGCGTCATCAGTCTGTCGCCACAGAGCTGTCCGCCTGCATACAGCCCAGATGTTTACCTTCTTTCCTTGTCAGGACTTATAAAAGCAGAGTGTCGGGTGTTTAATAATAAGAAAGAAAAATGCAGCATCTGGCAATTTGGCCTTTCCAGCTGTTTGGAATCTGGATAAACGGGACTCTGCCATAAACAGATCGTGATTCTTATTGTAAATGATGACAATGTTAGTCCATGACGTCGCACCATCCCTGTTGCCTCTCGACTCTAGATCTGGAAATACATAGGACCCAGACATTTATAGAGAAACTACTGGATTCAAGAACCCACTCCCTTCCTCTGCCTCTCCACGGCAGAAGACCAGTTATCTGAAACCTGACCCCAGACCAAGCAACACTGTCTTCTCTCTGGTCACTGGGCAGCAGTGGCCACAAAAGACCTGAAGCTTGGCACCTCTCAGCCTCGCCTGGCTGGTTCACCAGAGTTAACACCCTTTACATTCAAAATTTTTAAAAAATTAAAACCTTTCTCGCTCCTTGCTCTACCCGCTTTATCTCAAGTCTCACTGACCTTAGCACGGTGCCCTACACAAATTAATAAAAGTCACCCCTTCTACCTTTTCAGTTTATAAAGCATTCTTACAACCCTCGTTTTGCTTACCCTCCAAGGCAGGCATTATTATCTCTTGTGCAAACGAAAACCCAGAGGTTGAGAACATGAAACACATTGCAAAAGTAACCCTAAAAATAACCAGACACTGAGGTGGCCCTTACACATTCTTTGTCACTAATCCTCTCATCCATCGGTCTTGCAAATTAAGTCTCAGGGCGAATTTACAAATGTGGGAGCCTAAGACTCATGAGAGTGAAATAACTTCCCCCAAAGTCCTATAGATCATAGGTGGTGGGGTTTTACAATTTCCAGCACAGTCAATAAATATTTTTCAATTGGTATTTCTGTCTGTCTGTTTCCAATAAGCCTGAGAACTTGGAGTTAGACACCGAACATTCAAAAGGTCACGTGGTCTGGGGAATATTTTGGTGGGAGTGGGGATGGCAAGAAGGTACAATTTCCTTACAGCGTGTTTAAGAGAGATGCCAAAAGTCCGCCCGCTGGAGAAGCCGATTTTGTCTCCAGCCACTCAGTGGCTTGACTGTGACAAGAACTTGCCTCAACTACACAGAGGCCAGTTCAGAAACCTCTCCAAGCCCAGGTCCCCAATCTTTCCCCTTCTCCCTAGGCTGGTTACACCAGAGCTCTGGCACCCAAAACCCACAACCGCATGGGTGGCCTTTTTCACACCAGACACTTCCCCCACCCTCAGGCTTCAGTTTCCTCACCTTTCAAATGGGTGTGATAAATCCCACCCCACCAGCCTCACTGGGAAACTATGAAGAAAGTTTTGAAATTGCTTGGAAAAACCCTAACCAGAGAAAACAGCTTAAGGTATAAAGAAAGAGGCTCTTCCTCCCATCCCTTTATTTTCCTCTGCCCTTTCCAAATACAAGCCTGACTTAGAGATCTCTTATTTTAGACATGGGGGGTGTAGATAAAAATAATTGGGGTTTGAGGGGAATGGAATTAGGAAGATCGGACACAAAGCATCCAGATGAAAGGTCTCTAACTACAGCGTGGAACAAAGGCTATGTTTGGGATAGCCATTCACTCGGTCTGTGGAGAACTTGATCTTCAGATGACAGCCATGATTTTTTAAAACACAAAACGTTGTAGGAGGGTATCTGTTTAAGGGAGGATTGTGCATGGCTCGGGGGAAGCCAGGGAGCTCACAGCAGCAAACATTACTCATGTCTTCACTCCTCTGTCTGAAAGAGACCTTATATGTATATTCCAGCAATAATACTCTGCAGGAGTTATTTGTTTGTTTTTTCCACATCTATCCCTCTAAAAAATGTTCTCTATCTCTTGGAGAAGAGACTGACATTTAAAACAAGGAGATGAGAAATAGTGCTCTCTTACAAAGTCAGGTGTTTTCTTTTAAAAAGAAAAAAAAAATCTGTTATGTTTATTTCATTTTACCAGTCCCTGAATTGGGGAGTTGGGGTTTTTGATCTACAAGGAGCTCTCATGTGTAAAAGTGAGCTGCCCATGTTCTGAAAGTTGCTGGGGCTGACGCTAAGGGCGTGGCGTGATGCCTATAGCCATAAAACACAGTTTTTGTTTTCTTTGAGAATCACCTGGAAAGAGAACCAAGAGGTTCCAAATACTGATATAATAAAACCCCCAAGCCTTGGCTTCTCCTAAGAGGAAAAAAGAGGAAGAGGGACACAGCACCTTAACAATTTCTCCAATTTCTGGTTAACTATCTGTCACCATGAAACTTATAAATAATGGCTCAATAATAATTAACTGTGATGAGAAGAACATGTTCATGGAAATCTCCACACCATCGCTGGCTATGAGCCCATAAACCACACTGAGGCCTGTACTTCATATCCATCAGCTTCAACTGGTGGAGAAAGGGGACTGCCAAAGAACTTTTGCACAAAGACCATGGTGCTAAAGCGCCAAGGGCAGAAAAACCATTTTTAAGTCAGTACTTGACCCAGGAAGAGAATTTTCCATCAGGAATCCAGAAATCATCTGGTATAATTAATTCCTCGCTTGACAGATGGAGAAACTGAGGTCCCAAGACGGGAGGGGTCTTGCTGAAGGCCTCTGGTTTTTGTTATTTAAGGAGACTGGAATACTTCAAAGTATACCTTCAGTTGCTCAGCTACCCCATACATGAGCTGCTACTCAGTCTAATATATAATAAAATTTTGACGAGTTTCTACACAACTTTTATCAGAAATATACAGAAGCAAAATTATGTAATCTGAGCTTTCTATACCCACATTTCCCCAAACCGGGCTTACTCAGTTTAAATTAGATGCTTCCTAGAGCAGGCATCTTTTCACACTGACAAGCGAGGCCCAAACAACTAGAGAGAAACTGAGGAACTCCGGAAATTGGCGACACCAGGCAGCCCAAATCTCTCCACATCCGCGGCCAGGCACGTTGGCAGAGCCGGACTCACCCTTCCCGGCGGCGGCCTTGGACGGGCCGTATTCTCGGGGGCTTCTGGGCCGGAGGAGGTTGTGGGCGCGCGGTGGCGCGGGCGTTCGTGCTAGCAGATCCCGCGGGCCCCTGTCCCCACAGCCGCCACTGCTCACGGTGACCCTGAAGGCCATGTGCGCGCCGAGGCTGGCGGGCCCGCGGCCGGGACCCGGCGCACTGGGGGCCTCCTTGGGCCTCTTGTCCGAGTGTGCCTCGGCCACCTCGCAATGCATGGCGCCGGGGCGGGGCGCACGGCTGGGGGTAGCGCCGGGCTCCTGGGGAGGGGAGACAGAACAAGCACGTTAGAATTCCAGAAGCGGCCCCCTCTCATCCCAGGCCGAAGGGCCAAAGTTTAAGCGGACCACCGCCCCTCGGCTTATTCCTCATCTCTAAATAGGTTAGCGCCACGACATCTATCCGAAGCCGAAATCAAACCCATCTACCTGATGCCAGGTAAAAAAGCCCTTCCCCAGCGCAGAATCGGCTCTCCCTTCCCTGGCTTGTTGAGTGCACCCGCCACCAGCCACTGCGCCCTGCCACCCAAGTCCGCCTCCACGCCCCTTTGGACGAATGGGGAAACTGAGGCTTAGAGAGAGGAGGGCGCTTGTCTCGCATCCCCAAGTGGGACCGGAGCCGGTGGCAACAAGGATCCACAGAGCAGGGCTCCCGCAAAACCGCGGAGACGGCTCCGGGTGGGCCACAGGCTGCGCGCCTCCTCGGTGGTCTGGCCCCAGCTGCGTGCAGAGGCGGAGGACCGCGAACCCTATGGGTCCCGGGCGCAACCTCGGAGACTCGCCCGCCACCACCCAAACCCAGAAAACCGGAGTCCGAGGATGGACGCTCACTCCCACGACGTGAACCCCTCACACGCATCCCAAGACACGCACATCGCCACGCGCACTGGAGAAAATGAGCCCATCGCGAGTGCAAACCAACACAGTCAGCAGTGCCCACGCGCGCCCGCTCCCACGCACACCACATAGCCCCGCAAATGCACACTCGAGGACGCGACGTGCCACACACTCTCGTTCGCCCGCTCGGACATTCAGCACCACTACCAGCCGCACGGTCTCACGCTCTGGCCACACGCGCACGCTGGGGGTCCCGCGCCAGTGCCTGGGCCCTTCCGTCATCGCTGCCAGAGCGAGGGCCTGGGGCCCCCAAACTCTCGTTCCCCTAGGCGCGCCCCGCGTCATCCCAGAGCTGCCCGGATTCGAGCGTCGCTGGGACGCCAGCCTCGGATCTCGGGCCCCGCGCCCGCCCCCTGCCCCGGCCGCCGGCCTCGGGCCGCGCCCCTTCTCACCTCGCCGCGGCGGCTGCAGCTCGCGGGGCGCACGGCTCGGCGCGCCTCCACTGGCGCCGCAGCCCCGCAGCCGCCGCCGCCGCCGCCGCCGTCCTGCGGGCGGCACCCGGGGGCGGGGCGGCGGCCCGGCTGCCAGACAGCAGCTCGGGCCACTGGCTCGCCGCGCCGCCCCGCGGGCCATCGCGGCGCGAGGGCGGGGCCTCCTCGCCTGGGGGCCCGGGCGGGGCCGGCGCGGGCTGGGCGGAGGGTTTGACAGGCGGCGGCCGGCCGGAGCCCTGCGCTGCCCGCCGCCCTCGGGCCGCCGAGCGGGGCAGGATAGGCTGGGCGCTGTCGGGCTGGCTGAGCGTGCGGGGCGTCAGGACGGCCAGGCTCAACCTGGCTCCGACCCGCCTCTCCCAGGGGCCTCGGGCAGGGTCCTTACCCTCTCAGGTCGCTTTCTCCTCTGTCAAATGGGAACGGCGACACCCGCTAACGCTGAGGTAACAGATGCGAAAGTGCTTGAAAAGTTTTCTTGTAGAATCCAGCCCGCTCACTCGAGAACTCGCCCAGATTTCACAGCGAGCCAGCGGTAAAGTGGGGGCCCGAACCCAGGCTTCTCAGCCCCCTGTCTTACGTTTCTGTTTTGTTTTCCACCGGAAAGAGTCCAGGCTAGACGGTCTCAAACTCTGAAGTTCAAAAAAACCCCACAAAACTGATGCCTGGATCCCAACTAGAAAATACTCCGACTGAGTTTGTCAGGCGGGAGGGCCCCAGCGCTAAGGACTTTAGCAAGCTCCCAGGACATCCTTACAGATCCTGAAATTGAGACCTGCTCCGGGGAGTCTACCCAGTTCCCCTGCTTCCTGGATTCCCCCGACAGACAGCAGTGTCCCAGGGTCCCTGCCCAAAGTGTAGGAAGAGCACTGGACAGAGAACAGTGACTAGAAGCCATGGCTCACTTCCCCTCTCTGAGCCTCAGTTTCCTCCTGTGTAAAATGGGAGTGTAAAATAAACCAGGCCTGTTCTGTCAGGGCTCCTGAAGGATCCAGCCGAGCCCCTGAAATGGTCTCTGCGTTTCACCGAGGCACCCCTGGACGCTGTGTGCTGGTGATCTGGGCTGGCTCCAAAGGTCCTGGCCGGCTTCACACTCCTTTGCGGTCTGGTCTCCTTGGCCTTGGCCTCAAACTGAAAAATGCATGTGCAGCCCCTCCCTACGACACAGCAGGTCAGGTTCACCACACAGGATTCTGCACAGAATAAGGGACCCCAAGCAGGGTCTGGAAAACGAGGATTTTAGAATCACAAAATTGTAAAATTTTATTTCCTATAATTTATTAAAAATAGTATCTTGCAGTTACAGAGCAATAATGGTAAGAAGGACCTTGGAGTTTTAGTTAGACTGCTCCACATTCAGAGATGTGACTGGCCCACAGCAATGTGGTAGGGGGTGGGTGGCAGAGCTGGCACCTCGATCCAGGCTTCCTGACTCTCGGGCCAGACTCCTCCTCCTACACTATCCAGGCTGCCTCTAATAGGCACAAGGTGTCAACCAACCATGCCCATAACACACAGGCCCAGGACTGCTTAGGACATCATGACGGCCTCTGTCTGGGGATTTGGAGTTGGGGGTTGTTGCTATTTTTAAGGAAGGAGGGGAAGGGGCAGAAAGTAGCAGAGTAGCTCACCAACTCCTCCAACACACCACTCAGTGCCCACATCCACACACGCACACTCTTCCAAAGTCCCAGGGCTGGCTTTGCTGCCAACAGGCCATGTGGCTTTAGGCAAATAATAACCTCATTCTGGACCGCAGATTTTCCCTCAAAAAGCAAGAAGGTTGCAATATCTCTGGCCTTTTCAGTTCTGCCCTTCAGCAAGGCCAGGAGCCAAGTCCTCTGCCCTCCCTCCCCCAACACACACACACACACACACACACACACACACACACACACACACAGCACTGAGAATTTAGTTGGGACTCTGAAAACATTTGCTGAATGAGTCACTTAACTAACTGGACCTGCAGGCAAAGGCTCTCCAAATTTCCAAATGCAGCAACAGCTCATTCAGTAATTCTTTCCTGAGCACCTACCCTAAGCTGGCCCTCATACCTGAGCTAAGGACAGAGACCCTCCCTACCTGTCCCTCAATGAGCTCTCAGGTCCACCCCGCCAGGACAGATGGGTTGTGAAGTCTGGCAAAGCGATGAGAAGGTTAATCTGCTCAATAAAACAGACCTCTTAAACACTGTATATGGAAGGACCCCTGTGGGGATATATAGAATCCAGTAGGTATATGCAGTTTTTTCCTAGAAGGAAATACAAGAAACTGTTAACAGTGGTTAAGGGAACAGAGGACTAGGAGAAGGCCTGCGCTTTTCATTTTTCTACTTTTCTGAACTGTATTTTCTAACAATATATATTATCCTCCCTCCCTTTCAATAGTGGTTATTTGAGCAGTGGGATTATGGGCTGTATTTTTTCTTTATACTTTTGGTATTAAAATAAAACTCATTAATATTTTAATTGTCAAGAACAAAATGAAATGAAACAAATTAAACCTGCTTCTCACTTTAGGAGGCTAGACAGTAATGTGTGCTTTGTACACTAACCCATGTTTCAACTCAAACTTTCATTTACACTCTAGTCTCACATATAGTCTGTCTATTGCTCTCTCCATCTGGATCCATCTGCAAAAGCAAACATCATTTTTTTCTTCTCTTTGTTCCTCATTCCTATGTCCCTACCTTGATGAATGGCCCCATGGTCAAGTCCCCCAAGTCAGAAATCTGAGAGTCATCCTTGGCCACTCTTCTTTCACACTCCCATATCTGGTTAGTCATTAATCCAACTAACAATCCCCTCCTCTCCATTCTCACTACATTTCTTCCAAGTTCTTCTCCTTGTCTGCATCCTCAGCCCCCTCCCAATTACTTTCCACACTGGTCTCCCCATCAGTCTCTAAATATAAATCTGACCGTGGCACTTCCCTATTTAAATCTCATTAACAGCTCCCAATGGCCATCTAAATAAAGTCAAACCATTTTATCACCCTACTCTTAGCCCTACCTTATGTTCCAAGCACCCTGGAGTAGTTTTCATCTCCTAGAACCCAGAACAGATATTCATACCTTCATAGCTTTGTATATGATTCCTACACTAACACTTTTCCCTCGTCTACCTAATGTACTTCCTCCTAGGAATCATTTAATACCCAGCCCAAGTGTCACACTTTTTCCCAAAAGCCTCAGCTGAATCTGGTAGAATTGTTTTCTTCCTGCACACTCTCTCAGCCCTCGGCTTCATTCTATCTCAGTACTTATTGAACTGTTTTGTAACTGCTAACAGTTTGTCTCCCCCTCTAGACTGAGAGCTCTATGAGGTCAAGAGCAGCCTTTTGCCTTTGTATCTCCAGAAACTAGAAGAGATTATTGCAGAAAGTCAGCATTTAGTAAATGTTTACTGAATGCTGATTAAATTATTAGAGCTTACCATACTTCATTTCTAGCTAAGTGCTTCCTTACCCTGTCAAGACTCTCTCCACCCCCACCATCTTTGTCCAGAGGTATAAGCATACATTCAGCAAATGGTTAAAGTAAAAATAGACATTTTTTCCTTTTATTTCATCATATCATGGGAGTACAAATATTGTTAGGGTTACAAATATTGCCCCTGCCCTCCTCCCTCCCCCTGATGTCCCAGAGATTCAAGCATGTCCAATCCCCAGGTGGTGCGCACCACACACATTATGTAAGTATACACCCTTCTCCTCCTCCCCCTTCCCAAAAATAGACATTTTTATGTCTAAGGTCTCCTGTGCCCTGGAGACATGAGGAAGGAGAAGGAATAGAGGTGATAGATATCACACTGCTTACCCTACCTTTATTTCTTGCAGCAAGGAAAGAGTCAACATTCATCAGAGAACCTACCATGTGCCAGGTACTGTGGCTCACACTCTCCATATGTGATCTCATTGAATCCTGACAGATGAGTTTGTGAAGCCAGGTAAAGCAATGAGAAGACAACAACTCTGAGATAAAGGGGTTATTATCCCCATTTTATAGGTGAGAAAATAAAAGTTCAGAATTAAGTGATTTGCCACAGTTATTATAGTCAAGAGTGTCTGCCTCCCATATACTTACGGCCAACCTATTTTCTTTCTTTCTTTCTTTCTTTCTTTCTTTCTTTCTTTCTTTCTTTCTTTCTTTCTTTCTTTCTTTCTTTCTTTTTTTTTTTTTTTTTTTTTGAGACAGAGTCTCACTCTGTTGTCCAGGCTAGAGTGAGTGTCATGGCGTCAGCCTAGCTCACAGCAACCTCAAACTCCTGGGCTCAAGCGATCCTTCTGCCTTAGCCTTCCAAGTAGCTGGCTGGGACTATAGGCATGTGCCACCACGCCTGGCTAATTTTTTCTATATTTATTAGTTGGCCAATTAAATTCTTTCTATTTATAGTAGAGACGGGGTCTCACTCTTGCTCAGGCTGGTTTTGAACTCCTGACCTTGAGCAATCTGCCCGCCTCGGCCTCCCAGAGTGCTAGGATTACAGGTGTGAGCCACCGTTCCTGGCCCCAACCTATTTTCAATAAGAGTGCCAAGACCACTCATTGTGGAAAGAATAATCTATTCAACAAATGGTATTGGGACAACTGGATATCCCCATGCAGAAGAATGAAGCTGGACCCCTACCTCACACCATATACTTCAGAAAGTATCGTATAATGGTCCAACAATCTAAATATAAGTGTTAAAACCATAAAACACTTAGAAGAAAACACAGGGGTAAATGTTATTTTTTTTTAGGAGTAAATTTTGACCTTGGATTTGGCAATGGATCTTTGATATGACATAAAACATATCAACAACAAAAGAAAAAATTGGACTTC